GAGACCCTCGATAAATCTAGTGAGACCCTCGAGGATATGAAAAAGGACCAACTAGAAATTAAGCATACACTGACTGAAATAAACAATATTATACAGAGATCCAACAGCAGACTAGAGGATCACAAGAATCAAGTCAAAGATTTGAAATATGAAGAAGCAAAAAACACCCAACCGGAAAAGCAAAATGAAAAAAGAATCCAAGAATATGAAGATAGTGTAAGGAGCCTCTGGGACAACTTCAAGTGTACCAACATCCGAATTATGGGGGTGCCAGAAGAAGAGAGAGAGTAAGATATTGAAAACCTATTTGAAGAAATCATGACAGAAAACTTCTCCTACCTGGTGAAAGAAATAGACTTACAAGTCCAGGAAGCGCAGAGAACCCCAAACAAAAGGAATCCAAAGAGGACCACACCAAGACACATCATAATTAAAATGCCAAGAGCAAAAGTCAAAGAGAGAATCTTAAAAGCAACAAGAGAAAAATAATTACCCACAAGGGAGTACCCATACGAATGTCAGCTGATTTCTCAACAGAAACTATGCAGGCCAGAAGGGAATGGCAAGAAATATTCAAAGTGATGAATAGCAAGAACTTACAACCAAGATTACTTTACCCAGCAAAGCTATCATTCAGAATTGAAGGTCAGATAAAGAGCTTCACAGATAAGAAAAAGCTAAAGGAGTTCATCACCACCAAACCAGCATTATATGAAATGCTGAAAGGTATTCTTTACGAAAAGGAAGAAGAAGAAAAAAGTAAAGATAAAAATTATGAACAACAAATACATATCTATCAACAAGTGAATCTAAAAATCAAGTGAATAAATAATTTGATGAACGAAATAAACTGGTGAATAGAATAGAATCAGGGGCATAGAAAGAGAGTGGACTGACAATGCTTGGGGGAAAGGGGTGTGGGGGGTGTGGGAAGAGACTGGACAAAAATCGTACACCTATGGATAAGGACAGTGGGGGGGGGGGTGGTAAGGGCAGAGGGTGGGGTGGGAACCGGGTGGAGGGTAGCTATGGGGGTAAAAAAAGAGGAACAACTGTAATAATCTGAACAATAAAGATTTAATTAAAAAAAAAAACTCTTTGTAATCCAAGACTATGTCCCCCTTTTTAAAAAATATTTGTTTACAGATTTCAGAGAGAGAAAGGGAGAGGGAGAGAGATAGAAACATCAATGATGAGAGAGAATCATAAATCTGCTGCCTCCTACACGACCCCTACTGGGGATCAAGCTGAAACCCAGGCATGTGCCCTGACTGGAATGGAACCGTGACCTCCTGGTGCATGGGTCACGCTCAACCACTGAGCCACACTGGCGGGCCCCTTATTGATTTTTACTTTCAGGCTAGGTACAGTAAGGCATGATGGGCAGGGATAGTAAACCCTGGAGGAACTGGAGAGAAAAAGGAGGCAGTGTTCACCTAGTTGGGTCAGGTGAGTCTGTGAGGTACTTGTTTGCCCCCTAGTGGTGTAGGTGGAAATGCCTCTGGGCTCATACCAGTTTGAAATTAAAGATGAAATTACCTGCCCACACCGGTACCAGATTCTCAGAACTCTGTTCGGTCGGGTGATCAATTTATGTGCCGGGACTTCCAAGCTTTAGGGCTGGGGAACCCTCAACCCTAGGCAAACCAGGAGGATTGGTCACCTTACCATTCAGAGACATCTACTCACCATACACAAATATATACCAGTTACATTACTCAGTACCTTGGTATTATTTTAATTAAATATATACTTTGAAGAGCATTCCATATCAGCTGTATATTCATTTAACAAATATATATGGAGTCACTTACCATGCACTAGGCACTGTTTTTAAAAGCTAAAGATACAGCTGGGCCTGTGTTGCTCAGTGGTTAAGCATAGACCCATGAACCAGGTGATCACAGTTTGATTCCTCGTCAGGGCACATGCCCGGGTTTCAAGCTCAACCCCCAGTAGGGGGCATGCAGGTGACAGCTAATTAGTGACATTGATGATCACTAAGTAGCTGATCATTGATGTTTCTCTCTCCTTCTCCCTTCCTCTCTGAAATCAATTAAAAAATATATTTTAAAGCTAAAGATACAGTAAACAAACGGACAAAAATTCCTGTCCTCATGGAGTTGACACACCAGTGATTATAGCTATTGTATTTATTTAATTATTTTGCTAGCGTGACCAGCGCTGTCCTGGACATCTGTGTGTCTGCATCCTTCCCCCGTGTGTGAGTAGCTCTACAGCAGCACTGTCCACAGAACTTCCTGTGATAGTGGAAATGGCTGTATCTGCTGTGTCCTGATACATAGCCTCTATGGGGCTACTGAGCACCAGAAACATGGCTAGTGAGACACAGGAGTTGAAAATTTTTTAACTTATTGATTTATTTTTAGAGAGAGAAAGAGATTTGTTGTTTCACTTATGCATTCATTGGTTGCTTCTTGTAGGTGCCCTGACTGGGGATCAAACCAGAAATTTTGGCATATTGGGAATGACACAAAGGCACAAATTTGCATTCAATTAACCTGGTTTAACTAACATGGTTTATTGATCCCATGTAGTCTCCTTACTGTGAGGCTTTTGTTTGCTTTCCGGTAGAGGCTTAATTGATCATTAACTTTCCATGTTATGAAAACCATGTAGAATTGTCAGTACTGCCTTCCTCTTAAAAAAGCTGTCTCTTGTTAAATAGATATATGCAAGAGTCAGTTGGGTGCAGTAGAAAGTGGAGAAAGTTGGGATTCAAAACATCTGGGATGGAGGTCTGTCCTTCCTTGTGAGGGTAAGGTTTAGTCTAGCTCTTCAAGCTTCAGCTTCCCCACCTGTACCGATCAGAAGCTGAACCTTATCACCAGGAGGCGGGTGAACATAATATGAAATAATGTTGACTTAGGGAGGGAGACACGCTTCCCATTATTTCTGCTTTCACTAGCAAGTCTCAGTGTGGTGATGATATCCTGTCTTCAACACCTACTTAGTAATGGCTAATCTCTTTTCAGCATCAACAGTATTCAGCATAAACGAATGATATAGTTTTGGGGTGCTCTCCCCCACCCCCAGAGCTTGTCTGAGTCTTTCTTCCCTCTCAGGTGTGCATCTCCTAAACTCTAAGAGTCCCCAGGAGACTTGCAACCAAGGAAGCAATTGGCCGTGGCAGCTCCACCAGGCTCATTCCCTGAACCTGTCTCTAAGACCCCCTTTTCTCTGACTTTTCAGTGAGCCAATAGCAGCCCCACCTAGGTGCTCTCCTGTTGCTTCTTCTATCCTAAGCCCTTCCGTGTTTCACTGTCATATATCCTATATAATAAAGAGCTAATATGCTAATTAGACCAAACAGCAGAACAACCGTCCAGGCAACCTGCCAAACAAAGCCAGGGCTGCAAGGGCCGAGGCAGTAGGGTCTGTGAGGGCCAAGCCCCTTGCACAAATTTTGTGCATTAGGCCTCTAGAGTGTGTGTGTGCATGCGTGTGTGTGTGTGTGTGTGTGTGTGTGTGTATGTATACATATATTATTGATTTCAGAGAGGAAGGGAGAGGGAGAGAGAGAAACATTGATGATGAGAGAGAATCATTGATTGGCTGCCTTCTGCATGTCCCTACTGGAGATTGAACCCGCAACCCAGGCATGTGCCCTGACCAGGAATGGGACCATGATCTGGTTCATAGGTTTACACAACCACTGAGCCACACCAGCTGGGCTGTCCCTAGTTTTAATAAACATACTCTCAAAATCACCTGGGGGGAAAATGATATTTTTTTATTTTTAATTTTTATTTTTAAAATATATTTTATTGATTTTTTTACAGAGAGGGAGAGGGATAGAGAGTTAGAAACATCAATGAGAGAGAAACATCTATCAGCTGCCTCCTGCACACCTCCCACTGGGGATATGCCCGCAACCAAGGTACATGCCCTTGACTGGAATCAACCCAGGACCTTTCAGTCCAATGCTCTATTCACAGAGCCAAACTGGTTAGGGAAAAATGATATTTTTTAAATTTCCATTGTAGTTTTACAGTTCCCTTGTAGAAATAAGTGATGCCTGTTTTTTGTTTTTTTAAAATATATTTTATTGATTTTTTTACAGAGAGGAAGGGAGAGAGATAGAGAGTTAGAAACATCGACCAGCCGCCTCCTGCACATCTCCCACTGGGGATGTGCCCGCAGCCCAGGTACATGCCCTTGACCGGGATCGAACCTGGGACCCCTCAGTCCGCAGGCCGACGCTCTATCCACTGAGCCAAACCGGTTTCGCCAATTATGCCTGTTTTTTATTTATAGCTCAGGAGTGATATCAGATCTCCCTTTAAATTTTGTTTGCTTTATTTATTTATTATTCTTTTTGTTCTAATTTTTTTCCTTTTTTTGTTTGCTTGAATTTAAAGAAATCAACTCGGGTTGAAGAGAAATATTAAATAATCGTGCATAAGTAAATACCTAAGTAACAGTAGTGATTTATATTTAGGAAACAGGTGGAAGCCCAAAACCGGTTCGAATTTTGCCAATCTCAAAAACTCATTTTCCACATTTTCCAGATTTCCCTTAACTTTGCCTTTCTCTCTCTCCCTCCAATCAGAGGGGCCAGGAGGCGTGGCGCACCCCTTAGCCCCTCCCTCAGGCAGGGGCATATCCCAGAAGCCACGCTCCTAGAGGCCCTCGCCGTCCACTAGCCCCGCCCCCGCCCTGCCCCTCGAGCGCTGGCGGCCGACTAGGCCCCGCCCCCTCGGGCTCCTCCGTCTGGGCCGCCGTTAGGCTGCGCTTCGCGGCAGCAAGATGGCGGCGCAGCAGGACAGTGCGGGCGGTGCGCAGCTGGCGGGGCCCGCGGCGGAGGCCGACCCACTGGCCCGCTTTACGTGTCCCGTGTGCTTAGAGGTGTACGAGAAGCCGGTGCGGGTGCTCTGCGGACACGTGTAAGCGGCGAGCCCGGGCCTGTTCGGGGGGCGCCTGACGGGGCGGAGGGAATGGAGCCGAGGGGCGAGGCCCCAGCCGGGAGGGTCTCGGGCGGGGGTGGTCTCGGCCCGGCGCGGCCTCTCCGCGGGGCCCTCCGAAGACCCGTGGAAGTTGCCGGCTTCCTCCCAAGTGTCCCGCTTTTCCGACGAGCTCCTGTGTTCCGAGCGGCCTGTCGGCGCCTCTCACGCGGGACGGTGGCGCTAAACCCCGCCGTGGCTCTGGCCGCGAGAGCCACCGTTTCCCTGGGGTAGTGCGTGCGTCGCCCCTCGAGGGAGCACATCTGGCGTCATCACCCAGCTCTGCCCGGTAACGCCCAAGTGCCCTGAAGTTGGGGGAACTAAGCGAGGCTGCAGGAACAAAAGGGAAGCCACGCTGTCAGCCGGAGCGGTCCGCCTTCCCTGTGAAAGGGGCCGTCGGCCTTCCTCCCGACGCGGGGGCAGGTGTGCTGCGGGCTGTGGGGAGCGAAGCCTCCGTGGCCTGCGTGTTGCCGGGGGGCGTGGGGGCGGCTGACGGAGGTGCGTGTGGTGATGTCGGGACCGGTCCTGGGCTGCTGCGGCAGGTGTTTTGGGTTTGGCCGGGTTTGAATCTCAGCCTTGCTCCGTCCAACACCCAGACACCTGAACTGAAACCATTGGCCATCTCCTCCTTGCCCTCGAGGAATGGCGTTTTCTCCACGGCCTCCCTCGGTGTGCATCATGGCCGTCACCTGGGCACTGGCCTTGGGACCCCTTTACTGGTCAGTGGGCACTTGCTGGGCCTCGCGGGCATTATTTCTGCAGGCACCCCGCCGGGGAAGGGCTCCCCGGGCGCGCCGACGGCTTTTTGCTCCTTCGAGGCTCCAAGCTCTTTCTAGCTTTGGGCTGTTGTCGTTGCAGCTCATTTTGCCTGAAACTCCTCCTGTCCCATCTGCACCCCGGTCCCCGCCATCCCAGATCTTTTTCAGACTTCAAGTCCCAATGTGTTACCTCCATTGTCACCATCCCCATTTAATTGGCTCCCAGTTTCTTGCACCGAGCAAAATTTAGGGTCATGAGGGCAGTGACCATTTTTTTTCTGCCCCGTTTATATCCCCGGTGCCCAGCACAGTGAGCATCCATCTTCCAGTCTTAGGTTCAACAGACCAAAATATTTGTATGCCAGATGCTTGGGGCAGAGTAAGAATTAAGGTGATTCTGCCCTCAGAGTTCACAATCTGGCGAATAAATAAGTACCAGCAAATGTTCAGGCTATTGTGAAAATTCACTGTGCAATGGGAGGGTATTATAGGAATCACACTGAGGGTGGGAGGTGGTGGGGGTGGGGGTAATGGATGAATAAAGAAGCTTGACTTAGCAGAATTTGCCAACCGAAGAGCAACAGCCCTTGAGGTTTCCTTGAGCCAGATGAACCTTTCCTGGGTCAGAGGTCGGGGGACAGCACTGGGATTCAAACCTTGACTCTTCTATACTCGCCATACTACTTCTGCATGTTCATCCGATCAGAGTTGATTGAAAACAGATGCACCTCTCTGAGCCTCCCTTAAGGCCAGCCCAGTGCTCCTTTACTCCGCCTAATTGGTTTTTGATAACTTTTGTACTTGGAAACTTAAGCATCACTGTAGCTCTGGCTGGGTGTAGCATTAGATTTTTATAAAACTTTTATTTCAACCTCTAAATGACTGTCCTGCTTCAATCTAGTAGAATATACAGGTGGCTGGGTGCCCAGGAGAAAGGACTTGGTACATAGCATTGTAACAGAAGGGGTGGAGCATCTGAAAGGCTGAACTAGAAAAAGGCCAGATGTAGGAAATGGAAACTGAAAGCAGACTATTTTCTTAGCAGGCATTTATCATGGCCCCAAAGGTCTTCCTTTCTGCTTTTCGGACACCCCTCTGCATTTGGTGTCATCTTTGTATGGAACTCTGCATCCAGGTCTATGTGCCTTCTCATAAATTTAGGCCTCAGTTCAAATGTTACCTTCTTAATGAAGCTTTCTGTGATCCACCCCAGCTGATCTCATTGCTTTGTTTTATTTCCTTCGTGCATTTAATCACTATCTGAACCTAATATTTGTGTTTTTCTCCGCTCTGGAACACAGCAATTATGAGGATCGGGACTTAGTTTCGTTCAACATTGTGCCTTCGGTGGTGAATCACTAGACCCCTCACCTTCTCCCAGCCTGGTCTAGAATTTTGCCTAGCAGAATAACATCTAGCTTAGTGACAAAGGGGAAGAAAATTCTTAGAAACAGTAAAAAAAATTGTCAGATGTGCAGATTACCTTTGATTATACATTCTGCCTTAAACCTATTAGGTTGGGTATGTAGCTGGGCTATTTTCATGCCTTATTATCCATTCTTTCTGTGTACTTGATCTCAGCATCACCGCCTGTCCAGGCTTCAGGATAGAATCTTGGGCTCAGTGATTGAGCGACAATCTATGACCAGGAGGTTACGATTTGATTCCTGGTCAGGGCACTTGCCCGGTTGCGGGCTCCATCCCCAGTATGGGGTGTGCAGTAGGCAGCTGATCAATGATTCTCTCTCATCAATGTTTCTATCTCTCTCCCTCTCCCTTCCTCTCTGAAATCAATAAAGATACATGCCTAAAAATAAAATGTTTAAAAGAATATTTAAAACCAACAACTCTATTTTCTGTGATAGTCCCAGAGTTATTTTTCTAAAACGTGAATTTAGTCTTATTGATGCTTTGCTTTAAACATCTGCTTACGAGGAAAATGTTAGGCTTTTATTTCCCTAGCTGCATTATGAGTTTTTAAGTCTAAGGATCTGTGATATCCTCTTGTTCTGCCAGCTAAACTTTCTTTTAAGGCTCTTTTTGTAGATGCTGCCTCTGAAGTCTTCCCAGCCCTGTCCTTAGGTCACAACTAGTTGCTCTTGTATTTGTGTTCCCACAGTGCTTTGCATTCACCTCTGATGATAGTAGCTCCTGTTTGTGGTGCATTTCAAATGTGCTAGATACTGTACTAAGGTCTCCCAACATTCCTAGAGCTGAGTACTACTGTCTCCATTCCACAGAGGAAAAACCGAGATTCAGGAAACCCCTCAGTGTGCTGTGACACCTTTTGCCCTGTTTCACAGTAGTTTGCATTTGTTTTTGTTGCTGGACCTGTGTGTTCTTTGCAGGACCCATCCCCCCACCCTCATTTTTCTGGCATAGGGAGACGCAGGTTTTTTTGTTTGATTTTTGTTAATGCTCACATGAGGGTATTTTTTCCATTGCTTTTCAGAGAGAGTGAAGGGTGGGGGAGACAGAAACATCGATGTGAGAGAGACACAACTGGTTGCCTCCTGCCTGAGCCCCAGAGAGGGCAGGGGCGAACCTGCAACCCAGGTACATGCTCTTGATCAGGATTCGAACCCGAGACCCCTTGGTGCGCAGGCCAACGCTCTAAGGACTGAGCACACTGCCCACAGCAGGGGTACTTGGTATTTGAATCAGGAATAGGGAGGAAGTTGTCTTTAACCCATTATTCATTGAAGTCTTTTAAAAGTTTATCCATTTTGTTGTCTTGTCTTCACAATGCATGACTCAGGTTCTCTGTATGTCTTGTTCTAGCTTTTGCTCTGCATGCCTGCAGGAATGTCTGAAGCCGAAGAAGCCTGTCTGTGGGGTATGCCGCAGCCCTCTGGCACCTGGCGAACGAGCCGTGGAGCTCGAGCGGCAGATTGAGAGCACAGAGACTTCTTGCCATGGCTGCCGTAAAAATGTATGTGGAAGGAAAACGAGGAGTTGGTCTTTCTGTGATGAGATGGGGTAAAACGTAGAGCTGTTGCCTGTAGTTTCTGAAGGTGGAGCATGATGGATGACTAATAGCACATGTGCTTGCTGGTTATCTGTGGCAATGGTTGTGCTGTTTCATTTCGGTAACCTTATTGGGTTTTTGGGTTGTTTTTTTGTTTTAAGAATGGGCTTAGTAATTACATATTTTAGCTCTGAAAATCATAGAAATCAATTATCCCAGTTTTTCCCTATAAATGACTCATTTTTCCAAAGCATTATGCCCAATATTAATTAAAATATGACAAAAGGATATTTCTTAATGTCTTTTAATATAAAATAAAGTCAGTGACTCAAAAAAGTTATCTGCTTTAGTTAATTTGAGAGGAAATTTAAAAATCTATATCAGCACTGGTCAGTGTGGCTCAGTTGGAAAGTCGTCCCGTATACCAAAAGGTGGTGGGTTCTGTTCCCAGTAAGGGCACATACCCAGGTTGTGGGTTTGATCCTCAGTTAGGGCACATGTGGGAGGCAGCCAGGGATGTTTATCTCTCACATCGATGTTTCGCTTTCTCTCTGTCCCTTCCGCTCTCTAAAAATCAATTAAAAATGTATATAATTACAGATATAAAAATCAATTTTTAGCACCTGACAGGGAAAAGGTTACTATGAAATGTTTGATTATAATAGCAAGATCTAACATCTAAATGCACCCATGCTCTTTTGTGTAACCATATTAGAGTCAGATATATTTATTTTAACATCTGTTGTAACGAGAAATACTACTGTCTTGTTGTTTTCCAAGAGATATACACAGGCTTATTGGTTTTTAAATCATTATAATTTTGTTAATTCCAGACAGTACAAAAATCTCTATATATAAAGGGCTAATATGCTAAGTGTCCGACCATCCATCCAGTTGCTATGATGTGCACTGACCACCAGGGGGCAGATGCTCAACGCAGGAGCTGCCATGACGCACACTGGCCATTTACAGAGAAGTGGCGCTGCGGACCTAGCGCCCATAAAACAACACTTGGCTTACCCCAAGTGGGACACAGGCCCCATAGCGCAAAATGCGGCCAGTAGCCCAGCCCAGAAACCGTCGCTGTGGGGGCGCTGGGTAATGACGTCACATAGCAATGACTAGCCTCCTTGCAGTTTCTTCAGCCCAGGAACACAGCTTGCTTTATAGCCAGGTGCAAACATTTCACCCTTTAACCAAATGTCTGTGAAGCATTTTCCTGTGCCTCATCTCACTTGATCCTTACAGAAGTCCTGGAGTAGGTAGATAGGAGACTTGGTGGAATCCTGTTTTCTTTTCACTAGCTGGAAAACGGAGATTTAGAAACTTGACCCGACTGAAAAGAAGTAAGAAATAGTGTACCTTGAAAATGACTTCAGGTTTTCTCATTGTGCAGAATATAGTCAAACACTGCTGCAGTTAAATATTGTACCCTTTCTTCTTAAGTGATCTACAATAATAGCCTGCTTTGTGTTGATATTTACTGCTGTGTTGCTGACAGTTAACTGAAAGAGAAGTTGGGGTGCTTCACTGGGCTGGAAATAGTTTAGCTAAATCAGAAAGCAGGTCTAATTAAGCAAGTTTATTCTATATCTATAAAAGGCTAAGTTGACTCGAGCATGCGCCATACATATAAAGCTCAAACTGGTGCCAATTGCATGCATGTGTTTTCTGTCATTGTTGACCGTGAATTTGGTTGACACTTCTATTATAGAGAAAGGGCGAATAGCGATATTAAAATATTCTAGTTAATTTCCTTTCAACGTGAATGAATCCGTGCACCAGGCCTCTAGTATAAAATAATGTAGGCTTGTTCCCACTCCATAGCTTACCTCTTTAAAGTGGTTCAGTTTAGAAGACTGAAAAATATTTTCTACTCTTTGAAAAATACAGATGTAGGATTTTTACAAAATAGGATCATACTATAATATATATTTCGACAACTTTTTTTCACATTTAAAACAATTTTTCACCAAAGGACTGTTGGACATTCACATTAATGTCATTACTCTAACACCTTAGTTAAATAGCCATAGAATTCATATGCCTTTAGCACGAGGGGTACACAGTGGGTACAGTTCTGAATGAGGCTATTTCCCATTCCTTTTCATTGGGAGCTCTGGTTGCTAGCTTGAAGTCAAGTACTTTAGCGGGAGATAAGACAGAAGCATCATGGTAAACCAGAACTCAAATATTGAAGCTTTTTTTTCTTGTAGTTTCCTTTAATTTAAAAAATCAAGAAATGAAAATCATGCAAGCATAATGGGGTTTGGGGGGATTTTTCTATATGCTTTTTATTTTTCCCATTTTAAAGATTAGTGACAGTATTGTGGTATACCTCTAAAAATATTTTTTTTGCCCCCATATCTCCCCTCTTTCATCATTTCTTACACATTTTTTTTTTCTTTTCAGAACACCTGTCATGAAGCACTCTTTAGGTTTCCTTTTCTATAAAACCACTAGGTTTTATAGAAGAAATATAATTCAGATTTAGGGTTTTTTTGTAAAGATCATTTACCGTAATCTGTTGATTTGTACTTTAGCTAGAATTACTAGCCTTTATCCCTTTTACTTACATGGTCAATTTTCTTTGCTGCACAAAATGGAATGTAGTTCTTGGCTTATGTAAGCAGATGAATTTAAATTAGAGTATAGAAAACTTTAAAAACGTCACTTGGTTTGGAGTGTGTCTATAAGCAGAGAGCATGTGGTAAATAAAGCAGACCTCTAGGAGAATTAGTGAAGAGTGGAAGCAAATGTCCTGATTTGGTCAAATAAAACACTAATCTTGGTCTTAACAGGAACCCTGCAACAAACAGGGGTTCAGCCCCATCAGCACAGCCAGGAGACTGGTGAGATGTTTGCCAGGGTGGAATAGGTGTAGTTTTCATCTTGCCCTTGTTTGGGATAATGTTGGGCTTGGTACAGGGTTCTGACTAACTTGTGGCAACTCTGATTCTTTCTGTCCCAGTTCTTCCTATCTAAGATCCGGGCCCACGTGGCTACCTGTTCCAAATACCAGAATTACATCATGGAAGGTGTGAAGGCCACCACCAAGGATGTGTCCCTTCAGTCAAGGTAAATGACTCACATCACTCCCTTATGTCGAGGTCATCTTTTTTGTGAGTTTAATTGTCACACTGGACACTTTGCATGTTCGGGGTTGCGTTGTATGAGTTCTAGAAAGTGAAAGTATAATAGTTATGCTGACTAAAGCTGGTGCAAGTTTTTGTATGGGGGGTGGTGTGGAGAAGCACTCCCTGATGTTCACTTCAAATATTAGCTGTGCTGATGTTATTTTCAGAACATTTGACCTGACTCTGAAGTAATTATCACAATCCCTGTCATAAACCGTTCAGTGACCTTTGCTCCTTTTTCAAGTTAAAGTGGCTGAAGTTGCATGGAAATGTCCTCACAGAGGTGTTTTTCTTTTTCCCTGCCTTTCATCTTCCAGGAATGTCCCAAACCGTTACACCTTTCCTTGCCCTTACTGTCCCGAGAAGAACTTCGATCAAGAAGGACTTGTGGAACACTGCAAGTTATCCCATAGCACGGACACCAAATCTGTGGTAAGAGTAACTTTTTTTTTTTTTAATGGAAAAAAGTCAGACCTACAGAAAAAATTACAGGCATAGTATAGTAAACTCTTATGTATCCTTTACCTAGATTCTCAGATTAATAACATGTTACCATATTTGCTTAACTATACTTTCTATATACAAATTTTTTGCTTACTATTCAAGAATAAGTTACAGATATCATGTCCCTAAATACTTCAGCATATATCTCCTAAGAACATTTGCTTTAAAAAAATCACTTTTTTGTGTGTTTAATTGTCACACTCAGGAAATGTAGCTTTGAGACAATCTAATATCTGTTGAGGGATTCATGTTTACATTTTAGCAGTTGTAATGTTCTTCATGTCGGTCTTCCCTGTCCCCAAATCCCAGATCAGTGTGTTAGGTTTAGTTGTCATGTCTCTCTAGTCCTCAGCCATTCTTTGTCTTTCATGACCTTGCCATTTTTAAAGAGAACAGGCAAGTTTTGTAGAATGTCTTTCAGTTTGGGCTTGTCTGCTTCTTCATGATTAGATGCAGGGTTGCTCCATAAGTGATGTGTCCTCCAGATTCCACATCAGGGAGCAAGTGATATCTCTTGGTTCATTGCTGGTATCTTTAACTTACATCCCTTGGTGTCCACCACATTTCTCCTCTGTCAAGCTGCCATTTTCCTTTTAAGAGTAGCTTTTTCATAGTTGTGGAGAAAAAGAATTCAAGCTAAAATGATTAGGAAAATGCTTATCAGTCCTTTGACATTTAATTTAAATAACACAGATTGATGCTTCTTGTTTTGAAAAAACTGTTTGAATTTGGTCCATCTTCAGCAGTGCTGCCCCTCCCTCTTATTGTGATTGACAGACTAGTTCGTTTATTTACTTATTTATTTATTTACAGACTAGGTCTTAATACAACTTCCTCTATAGTTTGTTTCAATTTTCCCATTTATTTCAGACTGTTTCTCCCGAAATATATACCTAATTTTATGGGCAGTCTGCAGCTCCATTGCTGTAAAAAGTGAGGCACACACTAGAATTTTCATGAGTTTTGCTAATAGGAGTAGGCCTTGTGGCATTCTTTATTTCTCTGTTGGAAATCTTAAGATCCAGTTGGCCTTTTCAGGAATATCTTAAATCTCCTCTTGACTTTATTGAACTCTTTGTCAAGTCCAAATTCTGGTCAGTGCAGCCACTTTCCTACACTAGACTCCCAGGATTCTTAACGGTGTGCTGCAACAGATTCTACCAGTGAACACCCTCTCCATCTGCTTATCCCTGCTCTCCAAACTAGGGGAGTGGGCTGGCTTGTCCCATCGAGCATCCCATTTTCAGGACCCTGTTACTGCTAGGCAGGCACAGTCTGTAGTGGCTATTCTCTGCATTAAGTTCCTGGCATAAGCTGCCCTGATCTTAACTAAGTTCAAAGTATCAGGTGTGTATTCTTTCTTCTATCTCAGGTGGTCTGTGATCTACCTCTGAAGTCACAGACTGGCAGCCTATGGGTTCTCTCTGGCCCATACACATTTTAATTCCCTTAACTTTTAAAAATGCTTCCTGCCCTAACCGATTTGACTCAGTGGATAGAGCATCAGCCCTCGGATTGAAGGGTCCCGGGTTCGATTCCAGTCAAGGGCGTGTGCCTTAGTTGCAGGCTTGATCCCTGGCCCTGCTGGGGGAGGCAGCCAATCAGTGTGTCTCTATCGCATCGATGCTGCTCTCTCTATGTCTCTCACCCTCCCTTCCACTCTCTAAAAATCAGTGGAACAATATCCTCAGATGAGGATTAACAAAATAATAAAAATAAAAATGCTGCCCAAGCCTGTTTGGCTCAGTGGATAGATTGTTGGCCTGCGGACTGAAGGGTCTTAGGTTCGATTCTGGTCAAGGGCACATGCCCAGGTTGCAGGCTCGATCCCCAGTAGGGGGCATGCAGGAGGCAGCCAATGAATGATTCATCATTGATGTTTCTATCTCTCCCTCTCCCTTCCTCTCTGAAATAAATAAAAATAAATTTAAAAAAGAATAAATTGATTCTTTAAAAACACACACACACACACACAAAAACCTTCTAATTTTTTAAAAATGAAAAGAAATAATAAATATAAAAATAAAAATGCTGCCCTAGCCAGTTTGGCTCAGTGGATAGAGCATTGGCCTGCGGACTGAAGGGTCCCAGGTTTGATTCCAGTCAAGGGCATTTGCCTTGGTTGCGGGCACATCCCCAGTGGGGGTTGTGCAGGAGGCAGCTGATCGATGTTTCTCTCTCATCGATGTTTCTAACTCTCTATCCCTCTCCCTTCCTCTCTGTAAAAAAATCAATAAAATACATATATTTTAAAAATGCTTCCTTTTTTGCCTGGCTGGTGTTGCTCAGTGGTTGAACATCAACCTATGAACCAAGAGGTCACGATTCGATTCCCAGTCAGGGCGCATGCCTGGGTTGCAGGCTTGATCCTCAGTAGGGGGTGTCCATGAGGCAGCCAGTCAATGATTCTCTCTCATCATTGATGTTTCTGTCCCTCTCTTCCTCTCCCTGAAATCAATAAAAACGTATTTTTTAAAAATGCTTCCTTTTTGCTGAAATAAGTATGCCAAACTTAAATCTAGGTGTTGGGAGTAAGGGCTGGTTCATCAACCTATCATCTGCTTTTCTGTAGGTTTGAAGTTTTTCATAGTAAATTTTAAAAGGCTGACATAAAATTTTAACATATCTTTGCCTGTTTATGTCTGTCTGTAAAATAAAGTCTTAGCTGTGGATTGATTTGGTTGCGGGTTAAGTGTATTCATAATTTTGATCAGTATTGCTGAAATACTCTGGTTTCTGGTACTACAACCTAATTTCTCTCTTTTCTCCCCTCCTTTGGCTTCTTGAAATTCATGTGATCATTTTGTCTCTGTTGAAGCCTCTCTTTCTTCAGCCCTTGGCCCTCTGTCCCATCTCTCTCCCTCTACAGAACTCCTTAACTGTCAGTATTCCAGCACTTCCTTTTGGGAGCTCCTCCTCTTCTGGCCCTCGTCCTGACTCATGCCCCAGCTGCCTGCCTCACTCTGGCCACTCAAGGAGTCTTCCTCCATTTCAGATTCATCTCTTGCCTACCCCCTTTGTCACCATATCTTCCTGGTAAATGGTGGGGTTCCATCCCTAAGCCAGATGCGTTTGCCTGCTTCTGCCCCTCCACAGCTTCCCTCTGCCCATTTCCATGAATTGTCCATTCTAGCTGCACTGATTGTCTGGCTGTTTGCCTATAATGCTGCCTCTTGGCCTTTTCTCCTTGCTACCACTGGCCCTCTTCTGGAACACCCTTTCATGTGCTCTTTGGTTTTCCCAATGCCTCCCAGTCTTCAAAACCCAAATCAACTGCTTGTATGAGGACTTTTCAGCCTGAGCCCCCTCATCTGACCATTTACTCTGTGAAAACAGAACGTAAAGCTGTGTTTTAACTTCCTTGGGACATTGCTCATCTGTCATTTTTTGTTTTTTTTTGTGTCTTGAATCATTTTGTATGAAGGGTGGAAGGCCATAGTCTAGACCAGCCGTGGGCAAACTACGGCCCGCGGGCCGGATTCGGCCCGTTTGAAATGAATAAAACTATTGAAATAAAAGACCATACCCTTTTATGTAATGATGTTTACTTTGAATTTATATTAGTTCACACAAACACTCCATCCATGCTTTTGTTCCGGCCCTCCGGTCCAGTTTAAGAACCCATTGTGGCCCTCGAGTCAAAAAGTTTGCCCACCCCTGGTCTAGACCCCCACTGGGCTGACACATTGTTCTAACCACAGTAGGAGATAAGAAAAGGGTAGTATCATGGCTTAAGCCTTTACCCACCCCCGAGTATTATTTGACTTATATCAGTGTACACACAAGGGAGTGGCCTGGCCCTGGACTGGTGTGTCAGGGAAGCTGTCCTGGGAGCGTGGGGTTCAGACACGAGCCACAGAGAGTGGACATCAGCTCAGACATCAGGGGCCTAAGACCATGCTTCTTTGTTGAAAGGTTTGTCCAATATGTGCTTCAATGCCCTGGGGAGACCCCAACTACCGCAGCACTAACTTCATCGAGCACATCCAGCGGCGGCACCAGTTTTCTTACGACACCTTTGTGGTAAGTGGAGCCCGCGCTCTGATCCCTTCCACCCCCATTTTACCTGGAGAACCTTGGGCCCTATTGTTGAGCTGTGTCACTGATGCTATAGGTTCCCTGGAATGTAGCCGTGTGGTCTGAGCCAGATGAGTGACGACAGCCTTTCTTGAATGACACTGAAGATGAACTGGCCAGCCCAGCCGGTGTGGCTTGGTGGTTGAGCGTCAACCTATGAACCAGAAGTCATGGTTCGATTCCCAGTCAGGGCACATGCCCGGGTTGCAGGCTCGATCCCTCATGGTGCACGTGCAGGAGGCAGCCAATCAGTGATTCTCATCACTGATGTTTCTGTCTCCTTCTCCCTTCCTCTCTGAAATCAGTAAAAATAAAAATATGAATTGGCCAGCTATCTAGACTGAGACATGGTGACAAATTGCTCCTAGGGTGTTTGTTTGTTTGTTTGTTTTGCCACCATCCTCTCCATCCCTTTGGTGTGTGTAGTTTCTACCTGTTACAGAACCTGGTTTGAGATTTTTTGGGGGGTTATTTTTGTTCTTTGTTTTTTATTTCAGACAGGGGGAGAGAGAGAGAACATCAATGATGAGAGAGAATCGTTGATCAGCTGCCTCCTGCACGCCCCACACTGGGGATCAAGCCCACAACCTGGGCATGTGCCCCCAACCAGAATCAAACCCAGGACTGTTCAATCCACAGGCCAATACTCTATCCACTAAGCCAAACTAGCTAGAGATTTTTTAGTTTGTTTTTTAATTTTTCTTTTTTTATTGAGAGGAATGGAGAGGAAGAGAGAGCTAGAACATCAATGATGAAAATCATTGATTGGCTGCCTCTTGCATGCCCCACACTGGGGATCGAACATGCAACCTGGGCATGTGCCCTGACTGGGAATCGAAATGTGACCTCCTGGTTCATAGCTCGACACTTAACCACTGAGCCATGTCGGCTGGGCTGGTTTGGGATTCTTAGCTTAGATGCCCATGGGGCCAGGCAAGTAATGGAAATGGTCCCTATCGGATTTTCAGGCTAGACTGCCTGTGGCGCGTTATGCTGCAGTCAGCTCCAGCTGGTCCTTGTCATGTGTAAGTACAGGCACAGTATTGCCCGTTTCCTCTGCCAATACCAACTCCAGGAAGCTGGAAATGCAGAATGTCATATATCGTCTTGCATATTTATTTTTAACGTACTTCAGGTCAAACAAAGCATATCCACTGGCCAGATGTGGTCATTAGATTTGTGTCCTTTCGCTAGAGCTGAGTGATTTTGAAGGACACACTGTTGACTTGGCAGTATAGTGATAGATAAATTTGGCCAATGGCTTGGAATAAACCTTTTATTTATACATGTAAATGTCAAGTTAGAATTTTGTAGTAGTCAGTCTTTTTTTTTTTAATATATATTTTTATTGATTTCAGAGAGGAAGGGAGAGAGAGATATAGAACATCAGTCATAAGAGAGACTCATTGATATTGATCAGCTGCCTCCTGCACGCCCCCTACTGGGGGTTGAGCATCTGCCCTGACCAGGAATCTAACTGTGACCTCCAGGTTCATAGGTCAATGCTCAACCACTGAACCGCACCAGCCAGGCAGTAGTCAGTCTTAATGGCTGTATTTCAAGACCTGAGAAGGAAAGCATGACTTTTTACTGAGTTGTTGTAAAGAGTATTCATGGTCTGATACGTATCTGAAACTCAGACTTGAAAATAACTGTCCTTTTTGTTAATGCCATAAAGATGAATATAATGCCCAAGTAGAAACTTTGCCTCGTTGAGTTAGAAAGGCTGGTTTTTACCGTGGCCAGTTCAGTGGTTAGAGCATTGGTCCATGCACCCAAGGATCACAGGTTTGATTCCAGGTCAAGGGCATGTACCTGGGATGCAAGTTCCATCCCTGGTCCCGATCAGGGCATATGCGGGAGGCAACCAATCAATGTGAGGTGTCTCTCTCACATTGATGTTTCTCTCCCTCCCTGCTGCCTTCTACTCTAAGAAAAAATCAATGGAAAAAAAATATTGTCAGGTGAGAATTATAAAAAAAAAAGTAAAGAAAGGCTAGTTTCACTACAGTACACTCCACATATGAGTAGTGGTCTGTGTCAGGTTCATCTGGGTGCTCACTAGTCCTCAGTATCCCCATTTGAGAGAGCCACATTGTTTTAATCATCAGGATGACGCAGCAGAGGCACAGAGAAATCAAGCAGTCAGTCTAGACTTCCATGGCTAGCATTGCCAACCATGGAGCTGGGAGCTGGTCCCTGGCAGCCTTCTCCAGGGCCCTGTGCTCAGCTCTCCTGCTTCTACTGAAAGTGAGTCCTTGCAACTGCAAACAAGTGCTGAGGTTGTGTCTGCTTTGCCCCTAGGATTACGATGTTGATGAAGAGGACATGATGAATCAGGTGTTGCAACGCTCCATCATCGATCAGTGAGCAAGGCTTCTACTGTCCGTCTCGAGTTCCAGAGCTTCCATTACATGTTATGTGTGAATTTTTAAATATACAATAGACCTGGACGTGGTGTTAGGACAAGGTCACTTCTAACGGGGAAGCAGGTTCCCAGGTCAGAGCCCTCCTTTCCTTTGGGCTCTTCCCCTACAGTTAACCGGTTTGTCACATCTTGTCTTTGATTGCTCCTCGGCTACTTCCTGGGGTTTCTGCTGCTTCTTCCCGAAGAAAACCCAGCCTCTCCACCTGCCCTTGTTTCACTCTTGTTCCTCTCACCCAGCATTCCTCTCTCAGGTCCTCCAAGCCAGCCAGGACCTTTTGTGGGTCATGAATAGCACAAATGAGATAAGTGTCTCCTCTCCTCGTCCCTGAGGTGTGTGAGCTCTGGCAGCAGTGCATCTGATCACTGGGGAACTCCTGTGCTGAGGAAGTTCCTGCTAGTTGGTCCTTGCAACAGCTGCCAGAGCTGGAGTTACCTCCCAGGAAACCTTTTAGAAGTCCTGCTGGGGTGAATGTTCTGGGTTTAGCATGGTCTGATGCTGGAAGTTTTGATCAGTGATATTTTGCTGCCACTCCTGCACACCCTTAGAATGTACTGGTTCAGTCTTAAATGCCTGCATGGTGCCTTTTTAGGATAAGGTGTAACCACATGTTTTTAGTGGAAATAAGTGTTTCTAGGTTAGAAACTTAGGTTAAACTCCATTTCTCCATAAGTGGGGAGGAAGGTCGGCTAAGAGAGATAGGAGGACCATAGCTCTTTGCTTATGATTTTCAAACTAATAAGGTATTTTCAAATGACTGGTCATGTTTACTTTTCTATTTGGGACCCTGCTTACATTCTTGTCCTTGAGGTACAAGAAGGAGGAGTCCTCAAGTGAATAAAGAAAGAAGAGGTTTGGGGCCCGAGTGGATACCAGTTCCTTTATCTTTTGTTAATTTAGATTAAACTGAGCATTGCTTTTCTATCAGTGGGAGGTGATAGGAAATCTAATATCACAGCCTGCCGTCTCTTCTGATAAGACACTTCAAAGGCACAACATCTCCTGTGAGCAGTTGTTCATGGAAACGGTCTCCTGGAAATTTGCTTTGGTAGCAGCTCAAGAAGCTTGAAGTTCAACATGTTTCACGATATTAATAAACACAGGGCTAAGAGCTGGCAGTCAAATCCACAGGAGCAGAACCTCTGATCGACCAAACGACATCTAGATCTAGGTTTGCGTTTTCATGTCAGCCCTCTCTAATCTGATAGGAAAATTACTTCTGGTCATTGACCGAGGTTGCAAGTGACAGGGCTTTGGGCCTGTGCCCTGCTGCTACGGGGCTCTCCTTACCTGCCAGTAAGAACTTTGGATGCCTAGTAACCAGCAAAGACAGGGCCCTTTGGGGCAAAATAATATTTTCTATTGTGCTGTTGCTTGGGAGGCCCAGATGTTAAGCTCAGCTTCCTCACTGTAGTTTTTGGAAAGAGTTCACTCAGACCTCCCTCAATTGAGATCATCTCGGTCTAAGTTTAAAGGGAAGTTTGAGTAAAACCTTCATTTGAGGGACTGAAGAGAAAGTGTCCGTCTCACTGGAGGTACCAAGAAACTGCTTTCCTTGTATTAAGTGCACTTCATGTATTTCTAATAAGATGACTTTCCAGAAAGTGAAATTTGTTACGTTCTGGCTTTTAAAAGGTGAAATATAAATAAATTTCATAATTTATCCAACCGGTCAGCTTCAGAGCTTGTTTTCAATGCTGCCACCTGCTGAAGTCTGGGCCTGGGCGCCTCTAGAAGGTTGTTGCTCTTTCTGAGAGGAAGTTCCTGTCTGTCACAAGTGAGTCCCACTGACTCTGATCTCAGCTCTGACACTTCACCAGCTGAGCCTCGCTGGGCCGGTCCTCTGGAAAGTGAGCGCACCCCCACTTCTCACAGTTGGGAGGTCCAGTGAGGTGAGGAGTGACTGCTCCACGAAACAAGGCTTTATGCACGGGCTTCAGCTCCGTTCAGGTGACTGAGCAGCAGCCCCGAGACATGGTAGTAAAGGTTTCACACGTCAGGATCTGAGGTCCTGACGCTTAAAGTTCTGCACTCCTCTGCTGGCTGCGGGACATCTGGCAAACACTTTCCCTCTCTGTTTCCCTAGGATAAAAAGTGTTTTGGAGAAGTTGAGCTTTTACTATTACAGATGAAATACTCAAATTTTACTTAATTACATATATATATTTAAAACACTTAGAGATGGCTGGGTTAGCTATCACTAAACCCGGCAGAACATTAGTCCTCCAGCTCCATCTTGAGCATATGCAGTGCTCCTGACCTCCCTCTTTTTTTTTTCTCCTTTTTTTAAAATATACTTTTATTGATAGGGAGAGAGAGAGAGAAACATCAGTGATGAGAGAGAACCATTGATGAGCTGCCCCCTGCACGCCCCACACTGGAGATTAAGTCTGCAACATGGACATGTGCCCTGACCGGGAATTGAACCTTGAGCTCCTGGTTCATAGGTTGATGCTCAACTACTGAGCCACACTACTGGGCTCTCCCTCCTTTTAAAAGCAGTTGCTTCTGCCACACCATCCTGGTCTCTCTTCCTATTTCTCTACCATATTCCTTTTCATGTCTTGACAGCTGCCTCCTAGTTCCCTTCCCTTCCCTTCCCTTCCCTTCCCTTCCCTTCCCTTAGCTGTTGGAATTTTCCAAGGCTCTGCCCTGGACTCCTACTCAGCCTACACCACTCACCCTATACCAGGGGTGAGCAAACTTTTTGACTCGAGGGCCACAATGGGTTCTTAAACTGGACCGGAGGGCCGGAACAAAAGCATGGATGGAGTGTTTGTGTGAACTAATATAAATTCAAAGTAAACATCATTACATAAAAGGGTACGGTCTTTTTTTTTTTTTTTAGTTTTATTCATTTCAAATGGGCCGGATCCGGCCCACAGGCCGTAGTTTGCCCACGGCTGCCCTATACCCTCTCCCTGGGCAGACTTACTTACCCACTCACCACTTGGCTTTCATTACCATCTGTGTGCCCATTGGCTGAGAGCCACAGTTCTAGACCAGACACCTTTCTGGAGCTCCAGGCCCATAGAGCCTGCTTCCTCATAGAGTTGTTCACCCATATGACTTGAAGGCATCAGTCAAGTACTGCCTGACTCTTACTGAACTCATCACCTGCTCTCTTACTACTCATCTCCTGCTAGGTTAGGTTCTTTTTCCCCACAGGTGGTACCACCATCCCTCCAGTTGCCCAAGAATTAACCTGAACATCATCTTAAACTCCTTTTTCCTCCTCGACACCCCATGTCAACAAATTGTATTGATTTTAGCTCCCATATAACACATTTGTGTGGGTTTTGTTGTTAATCCTCACCCAAGGATATATTTTTCTGTTGGTTTTTAGAGGGTGTGGAAGGGAAAGGGAGAGACAGAGAAACATCAATATGAGAGATACACTTTGGTTGCCTCCTGTACACACCCTGACCAGGGCCAAAGATCAATCCTGTACCTGAGATACATGCCCTTGATGGGAATCGAACCCAGGACCCTTCAGTCAGCAGGCTGACACTATCCACTGATCCAAACCAGCTAGGGCAGCTGTGGGCAAACTACGGCCCGCGGGCTGGATCCGGCCCTTTTGAAATGAATAAAACTAAAAAAAAAAAAAAAAAGACCGTACCCTTTTATGTAATGATGTTTACTTTGAATTTATATAAGTTCACACAAACACTCCATCCATGCTTTTGTTCCGGCCCTCCAGTCCAGTTTAAGAACCCATTGTGGCCCTCGAGTCAAAAAGTTTGCCCACCCCTGAGCTAAGGCTATGTTTTTACCATCTCACTACCACCAGCATCTCCAAGTCCACCATGATCTCATCTGAATTATTGCCACAACTCTCCTTTGGTTTCTCTCCAGTGCTCTCTAGCTGACATCTAACCCATTCTCCACTAAGCAGCCAGAGTGTCATATCCTTCAAAACCCTTCAGAGGCTCCAGTTATCCTTGGGTAAAGTCCCAGCACCTCACTCACCATGGCCCTCCAGGTCTCCTGTCCTCTGTCCCCATCTCCCTGTCCAACCTCAACTCCTGACACTCGCTTCCATCTCAGCCATTCAGGCCTTTCTGTGCCTCAAGTGGGTCATGTCCCCCTCCTTCCCTCTGGAATATTTGGTGTTTCCCCAACCCCCGTCTTTGCCTCCCAAATGCAGTTTGAATGTCTAGCTCAGAATTTCATGTATGATGTTCCTGTACAAGATTCTACTTCTAGTACTAATTAGGGCATTTATCAAACTCATGTATAAATATCCCTGCTTGACTATAAGCTCTCTGAGGTTAGGATTCCTGTTTACCTCTATAACCTCATTGCTCAATATTCTGGTTGCCAGAAATACAGGACTCCCGGTTGCATGTAAATTTAAAACAAATAACTTTTAGTATGAATGTGTACCAAATACTGCATGAGAGTATAATTTGCCCAAGTCAGAAAGTGAATGCCAGGAATATGCATACTAAATTGTTTGAAATTCACACGGACATGCTGTGTTTTTATTGGTTAAGTCTGGAAACCCTTCTCAGTGTACATTAGCAGTACAAGTGTTCTGAACATCTATATGTGTCAAGCAACTCACACCTGATACAATGCTTGTGCAGTCCAGCCTGCGTGGTTCAGTGGTTGAACGTCGACCTATAAACCAGGAGGTCCCGGTTCAATTCCCAGTGGGCACATGCCCAGGTTTCGGGCTTGACTTGGGATGTGCAGGAGGCAGCCAATCAATGATTCTCTCTCATCATCGATGTTTCTATCTCTCTCTCCCTCTACCTTCCTCTCTGAAGTCAATAAAAAATATTTTTAAAAATACTTGTGCAATTACTTGGTTTTTTAAAAGTCTTAATGATTTTTTTTAGAGAGAGAGAGATCGATTGGTTGCTTCTTGCACACATCCCAAAGGGGGAATGAACCCAAAAGCTGGGCATGTGTCTTGACCAAGAACCGAATCTGCCACCTTTGGTGTATGGGACGACCCTCCAACCAACCCACACCGACCAGGGCTGCAATTACTTGTTTTGATGGCTGCCTCCCACACTAAGTTAACCTTGAGGGCAAGGACTATGTCTGTGCACCACTGTCCTCCATACTTGGCCCCAAATAGACTCAATAAATATTCCTACAATTGAAATGGATCTAAAACGGGACCTTTTTACAGTAGTACTTCTTTCTGTGGCCACTCTTCCAGCCCAGTTAGGGGCCAGTGCAGTGGTAAAGAGAGCCTGAAGGGAGCAGTGTCTCCCAAGGCTTGAGCTGGCCCCAGTGCCCATCCCCACAGGGAGGCATGTCCTCAAACGTGAAGCTCAGGTGTCTGGACTTGCTCAGAGAAGGCAAGATTTACGTGGGCCAACAAGGTGGCCGCCACTAGGTGGAGACCTTACCTGCCCAGGTCTTCCACATGGTCCCGGATGCTCTCTTGCCTTTGTTCCTCTCCCTATGTCCTGGCCTTCCACAGTGTCTGCTAAATGTCCCTTATGGGGCCAGTTGGGCATTATGAGTGCAGGGTTAACGACAATGATGCTAACCTCTCATCCCTAGTTCCTCATGGGTGTCATTAGACTGATGGTCTGGGGCACACAGCACAGTCCCCTATTTCCAGCATCCACACTGCTAGCTAGCTGTGTGACCTTGGACAAGTTATTTGAATCTCTTTGTGCCTCAGTTTCCTCATCCATAAAATGGGGTTAATAAAAGTTTGTCTTCCTCATAGAGTTGTGGGAATCTAGTGAAATAATCCATGTAGACATCAGAACAGGGCCCAGCACAAAATAGTGCTTAAAAAATGTGAGCTATGGACATCAGTACTGTTTTTCTCACCGTTTCTGAGACAGCCTAGTGACCTCCTCACCCAAGCAGCTAGCATCTGTTTGGTGACTAAACACCGCCATTAGATGCAGTGTTTCCCAAACTCAGCCTGAAGCCATGGATTACCTGCGAGGCACTTGTTACAAAACACATTCTCAGAGCCTCCCTCGGAGAGTCTGCTTAGTAGGATGTGGGTGGGGTCTGGGAATCCATATCTTTTAAAAGAGCCTCAGGTAAAATGCATCCTTAGGCTAGTTTAGGAAATAATGTAAGGTGTGTTGCAACAAAGGTATTGTAGCTGGGGTGGGGCAGCAACTTGGCTGATGTTTAGAATCAGGTGGATAAGCTCAGGCCTTACAGGTTGCAAGACTTTAGTGCTGCCTTTTCTGATCATAAAAACCACCTGGAACATTTACTTGATCTCCCACAAATTATTTACAAAGGGAAAATTAGTAACCTGGTAGTGGGGAGACCTCCCAGGCATCTTCTTCACCAAGTGGTCAGGCGGTACCATTGACTATGGATGCACCACTTCCGAGGTTCCAACAGAAAAACGTCTAACATGAGTCCAATTGTAAGGAAACATCAGGCAAGTCAGCCAAACCAAGGGACATTCCACAAAACAGTTGGAGTCTTGAAAAAAAGTCTAGGTCAGATTAAAGGAGACACGAGAGGTATGAGAACTCACTGCACTACTGCAGGGTCCCCAGATTGAATCCTTGATGGGTAGGGTTGTCGTAAAGGATGTTATTGCGCCAATTGCTGACATTTTAATGTGGACTGTGGAATAAGCAATAATATTTCATCAATGTTAGATCTGATTTTGACAACTATACCACAGTTATAAGAGGATGTCCTTGCTCTTAAGAGAGAGA